TAGGTATTATAAGATTATTACTTAATCTAGACATAACAAGTATACAGGAGGCTGTGCATAGATTATATATAAATACTACACCATTTTATATAAGATGCTTGCACATCCGTGAATTTTGGTATCTTCAGGGGGTCCTGGAACCAATTCCCCAACAGGCATTCAGGGAACACTGTATTTCTAAACAAGGTCGCTCACTGCTTAATAACTTCTTTTCACCTGCACATGGAGGTGTATTTTAAACATCTGTTCAAGTCAATGACTGATGGTAATGCACAATGTATTTTTCCTCTAGGCCACAGAAAACTGTCAGGTTGGTATAATGGAGGCTTAAATAAAAACAGTTCCTGAAATTTAATGACTTTATTTCATTAATTGAATTTTTGCTGGCTTTACAACAGCCCAAAGGAGAGGGGATTATATTCCTAAATTCAAATCATTGTCATCATTATCATCGTCGTCATCATAGTTTATGTTTATTGAACACTTCCCATGTACTTCCTTAAGCCCTTTGCTTACAGAGGGTTCCCATTTCATTGTCATGACTACTGTAATCACTCTCACCTAAGTCTGTTTAACATGCAAGATTGATTCCCAAGTTGATATAGAAAAATTAATTTTTATTACTTCTCTTCTAGATTATTTTACAGATTTTAGTTTTGAGGCTTTAGAAGAAAATTCCTTACTTTAGAATGCTAGAGCCAGTTTCCTATATTTTCTTGCAAAGCTTAGTAATACAAATTTCAGAAGTTCAACTGTATTTTCATTGCATTCTTTATAAAAGATAAAAAGTAAAGATTTATCTCAGACATAAGAAATGTTTTTTAAAAATGATAGAGCTGAAGCAATTATTTTAGCCTAGAGTATATTACAATTGGCTCTGCAGGTCTGTAAGAATAAACACAATCAATTTTCTAACTCTGACAATTTATTATTATTATTATTTCAGAATATTACAGGGGTACAAATGATTTGGTCACATAAATTGCCTTTGCACTGCCCGAGTCACAGCTACATGTGTACCCATCCCCCAAATGGTGCACACCGCACCCATTAGGTGTGAACTTACCCATCCCCTTTTCCCCCTCCACCTGCCCGATCACCAATGAATGTTACTTCCGTATGTGCCCATAAGTGTTGATTGATTAATACCAATTTGATGGTGAGTACATGTGGTGCTTGTTTTTCCATTCTTGGGATACTTCACTTAAAAGAATGGGCTCCAGCTCCATCCAAGATAACATAAGAGGTGTTAATTCACCATTGTTCCTTGTGGCTGAGTAGAACTCCATGGTATACATATACCACATTTTATTAATCCATTCATGTATTGATGGGCACTTGGTTATTTCCACATCTTTGCAATTGTGAATTGTGCTGCTATAAACATCCTAGTGCAGATGTCTTTTTTACAGAATGTATTTTTTTCCCTTGGGTAAATACCCAATGGTGGGATTGCTGGATCAAATGGTAGGTTTACTTCTAGTTCTTTGAGATATTTCCCTATTACTTTCCATAGAGGTTGTATTAGTTTGCAGTACCACCAGCAGTGTATGAGTGTTCATCTTCCTCCACATCCATGCCAACATTTATTGTTTTGGGACTTTTTGATAAAAGTTGTTCTCACTGGAGTTAAGTGATATCTCATTGTGGTTTTGATTTGCATTTCCCTGATAATTAGAGAGGTTGAGCATTTTTTCATATGTTTCTTGGCCATTAGTCTATCTTCTTTTGAAAAGTTTCTGATCATGTCCTTTGCCTACTTTTTAATGGGGTTGTTTGATTTTTTTCTTGCTGATTTTCCTGAGTTCTATATAGATTCTAGTTATCAGCTCTTTATTGGATGTGTAACATGTGAATATTTTCTTCCATTCTATAGGCTGTTTATTTGCTCTTGTGATAGTTTCCTTGGCTGTGCAGAAGCCTTTTAATTTGATCAGGTCCCATTTATTTATGTTTGTTGTTGCTGTGATTGCCTTTGGGGTCTTCTTCATAAATTCTTTGCCTAGGCCAATGTCTATAAGAGTTTTTCCAACATTTTCTTCTAGACTTCTCATGGTTTCATGCCTTAGTTTTAAGTCTGTTATCCATTGTGAGTTGATTTTTGTGAGAGTGAGAGGTGTGGATTCTGGTTCAGTCTTATACATGTAGCTATCCAATTTTCCCAGCACCATTTAATGAATAGGGATTCTTTTCCCCAGTGTATGTCTTTGTCTGCTTTGTCAAAGATCAGATGGCAACATGAGGATGGTTTTATTTCTGGGTTCTCTGTTCTGTTCCACTGGTCTATGTCTCTGTTCTTGTGCCAGTACCATGTTGTTTAAGTTACTATAGCCTTGTAGGATAGCTTGAAGTCTGATAAATTGATGCCTCCCATTTTGTTCTTTTTGCTTAAGGTTGCTTTTTCTAAATGGAGTCTTCTCTGGTTCTATAAGAAGTGTGGAATTATTTTTTCTAGATCTGTGAAAAATGATGTTGGTATTTTAATAGGGATTGCATTGAATCTGTACATCACTTTGGGTAGTATAGACATTTTAACAATGTTGACTCTGCCGATCCATGAGCATGCTATGGTTTTCCATCTATTAATGTCCTCTGCTATTTTCTTCCTCAGTGTTTCATAGTTCTCCCTGTAGAGGTCTTTCATCTCCTTAGTTAAATATATTCCTAGGTATTTTATTTTCTTTGTTGCTATTGTGAAAGGTATTGAGTCTTTGATTTGATTCTCAATTTGACTGTTGTTGGTGTATAGGAATGCTACTGATTTTTGTACATTGATTTTTGTAACCTGAGCCTTTGCTGAATTTGTTTATCAGTTCCAGCAGTCTCATGGAAGAATTTTTGGGATTTTCTAGATATAAGATCATATCATCAGCAAAGAGTGATAGTTTGACCTCTTCTGTCCCCATTTGGATGCCCTTGATTTGCCTCTCTTGTATGATTGCTCTGGCTAGGACTTTTAGCACTATGTTGAATAGAAGTGGTGACACAGGGCAATCTTGTCTGGCTCCAGCTCTCAATGGGAATGGTTTCAATTTTTCCCTACTCTAACTCAAATTTTAAAGTGTAATTTGAAATATGCCAGAAATACAGTGGTTCATCCTTATCCATGGTTTTGCTATCCATGGTTTTAGTTACCAGTGGTCAATTATGGACCAAAAATATTAGATGGAAAATTTCAGAAGTAAACAATTTATAAGTTTTAAATCATATGCCATTCTGAGAAATGTGATGAAATCTCACAGCACTCTGCTCTGTCCTACCTGTAACATGAATCATCCCTTCCTGCAGCATATCTACACCCTATATGCTACCTGCCTGTTAGTAACCCTCCAGATTATAAGATTGGCTATTGCAGTATCAGAGTGTTCGTTTTCAGGTAACCCTTATTTACTTAATAATGGCACAAGAGTAGTGATGCTGGCATACTGTCACAATTGTTCTATTTTATTATTAGTTATTGTTATTAATCTCTTACTGTGCCCAATTTATAAATCAAACTTTATCATAGGTATATATGTATAGAAAAAATATAGTATATATAGGGTTCAGTATATCCATGGTTTCAAGCATTTACTGGAGACCTTGGGACTACTGTAGTCACTTTCTCTCAAAATATTACCTGCATTTCTCCTATCTGAGGTGTCATCATCAAAATACTCATTGTTTTGGGTCTGAAGCCTTTTAAAATTCATGGAGTCCCTTATTAAAATTTAAATGCCCTTTTGTGGGGATTTCTATCAGTTAGTGCCTTGTTCACTAATTTGTTCAAGATATTTATTAAACCAGAACACTGTCAGGCACCGTATTAGGAAACAAGCATGCACAAGATAGGCCTTGGAGAGTTTATACTGCTCTTGAAGACAAGTGACTCAGATTGATTTGGGAAAAAATGCAGATCAATGAGTAGGTAAATAACACAAGACACTATAAGACTAATTTGTCCCACTTTACTATTTTGCCATTGGCTGGTTCTGTGGATTGAATAAAAAAGAAAAAGAAAAGAAAAAGAATAATTGCAAAGCCAAAGCCTGTGCCAGAGGAAGTGGTTCATGAAATGAGTATTTCTAGATAGTGTTATGCTTTACAATGTATAGCTCTTTCCTTCAAGTGCATTCCAGAAAAAAAATCTTGAACAATAAAAAGTCTTGAGAAAGTTAAAGCAATAAAAATGTACTGTAGTATGATAAAAAGCACATTTTACCAATTTATAATTACACTTCTAACATGGAAGCTGTTTTGTACTTTACAAGTCGATCCTGTTAGGAGTCAGATTTGTGGGCATATGTCATCTTTCTTCTCTATACTTCATCATGACCTTATTTTTCTTGAAAATTTTATAGCTGTTTGTATTGTGACTCCAAATGAAAATAGTGACAAAAACATTGATTATTATTCAACTCTTAAAAACTCAAGTCAAATGTAGCTGACGTACTAAAGGTTATAAGCCTCCTATTGGTCCCTTGTTGCTAAGAAGCATTTCCTGTGCCAATTTTGAGTATTCTATTCATTGAAAAAACCTCATGCATGTTTTATGGTAGACTACTGTATTCTGTATTTATGGTAAAAATACTGTATTGTTAACTATAAGCACAGTGTTGTACAGCAGATTTCTACAACTTGTTCATCTTGTATAACTGAAATTTTACACCTGAAAAGATAACAAGTGTTGGTGGGGATGTGGGGAATAGGGAAGCCTTGTACACTGTTGGTGGGAATGTGAAGTGCTACAGCCATGGTGGAAAATAGAATGGTGGTTCCTCAAGAGATTAAAAACAGAATTACCATATGATCCATAAATCTCACTTCTGGGCATATACCCCCCAAATTGAAATGAGGATCTCAAAGAGATATTAGCACTCCCATGTTCACTGTGGCATTACTCACAAGAGCCAAGATGTGGAAATAACCTAAATGTCCACTGACAGATGAATGAAGAAAATGTGGTAGAAGTTTTAAAATCACAAGCTGCACTAGTTTAGCAAGTCTTAATATTATCATGCCCTTTTCAGCTCCACACTCATATCTTGCAGATTCAGTTAAGTATGGAATAGCATCAATGTTTTTACTAGGGCTCAGACTTTCCCATCGCTGAACCTTCCTTACATCCTTGGGTCCACAGGCAGCTTGTAGGTCCCATGGGAGCTTGTCCTCTGTGACTCCTGGCTTCCAAGCTGGACTCCTTAGGAGAACTACGGGGCCATGGGAGCTTCCCATCAGGATCTTGTAGCCTCGGTGCAGCCATGGAGTAGATGGAGGGCAGTCTGAATCCTCTGGCTCTTTCATCTCCTACACAGCTACTGCCCAGGGCTTCCTCTGCACAGGTAGTGCCTTGGGCTCACTTTGCAAACCACACAAGGACCAGCCTGGGAGAAACTTTCAGTAGAAAATGATGCTTCCCTGAGAAACTGTGAGTTTCTGGGATCTTTCTGTCCATAAGTGACCTACCCACATACTAAGAGAGGCAACACTGCATTTTTTTGGGTGGGGGGAATGGTTTTTAAGTCGGAAGATCTAAATGAGAGTTCAAGACCTGCCATAATTCCAGTCTGTGACGTGAATCATTTGTCCTCCTGGAATGTCCACATCTTCATTTGCAAAATGCAAGTAACAGGTCACTACAATTACCCCGAGGATCTTGTCTGAGGGAAGATGTATACATATCTGTAAACATAATGCACTGTGGAAAATTCAGATGATTTCCACTTCAAATATGCATTGGAATGAAGCAAGGTAGAAAGAAAATAAGAAAAGGATGAAAAAGGATGAAGGTTTTGGCTTTGTTTTCTGTCTTTGCTCTAATAAATGCACTGAGACATTTGAAAGGTGATAGCTGTGTGTCGTAGCCAGTGCACTTACAGATACCATAGAACCCATAGCAAAATGTAAATTGTAAAACATATTTCATTCTTTTTAACTTTCAGTGACCTTAATATATTTCAAAATAACACTTAACTCTCCCAGAGTTAAATGTTGTTTTTCCATTCTGGGAAATGAAAATTAGGTTGAAAAACAAGATACAGAAAAATAAGTAATATTGGAAGAAAATGCATTTTTTTGGCTCTAAATATACACAGTTTGAAAAAAAGATGTTTTCCTAGTCTGTTTTTCTAGAAAAGCTGCATCTAGTCCTAACCAAATCTGCAGAGGGTCGGTTTCCCACTTGCTCACAGCACTCACAGTGGTTCTCAGTCCATTGCTAATTTTCCTTCATTTTCACCCCAACATAGTATTTGTTTCTGCCAATGCTCATTAGCGTAAGCCACAGTGCAGTCCTCCTAATATTATATCATGCAATATGTACTTGGATGGAGGTTTTAAGCAACAACTGATTTAGAAAAATAAAAACACAAACTTCAGCATTCTTCTTAAATACTATATAACATTTTAAACTACAAGTTCTGTCAGCCAAATTGATTAATGCACATGTGAAAGTACAACTCAAATGTGTGCACATGTAGCCCCTGGGGACAGCATTCCCATTTAGGACTGGGACCAGACAAGGTTGCCCTCTATCACCACTTCTATTCAACATAGTGCTAGAAGTCCTAGCCAGAGCAATCAGACAAGAGAAGTAAATCAAGGGCATCCAAATGGGGACAGAAGAGGTCAAACTATCACTCTTTGCTGACGATATGATGTTATATCTAGAAAACCCCAAAGATTCTTCCATGAGACTACTGGAACTGATAAACAAATTTAGCAAAGGCTCAGGTTACAAAATTAATGTACAAAAGTCAGTAGCATTCCTATACACCAACAACAGTCAAATTGAAAATCAAATTAAAGACTTAATAGCCTTCACAATAGCAACAAAGAAAATAAAATACCTAGGAATATACTTAACTAAAGGTGAAAGATCTCTACAGGGAGAACTACAAAACAGTAAGAAAGGAAATAGCAGCTAACATAAAGAGGTAGAAAACCATACTATGCTCATGGGTTGGCATTGTTAAAATGTCTATACTACCCAAAGTGATGTACAGATTCAACACAATTCCTATTAAAATACAGACATTATTTTTCACAGATCTAGAAAAAATAATTTTATGGTTCATATGGAACCAGAGAAGACCCCGTATAGCAAAAACAATCTTAACCAAATGAACAAATTGGGAGGCATCAATTTACCAGACTTCAAGCTATACTACAAGGCTATAATAAATAAAACAGCATGGTACTCGCACAAGACAGAGACATAGAACAATGGAACAGAACAGAGAACCCAGATATAAAACCATCCTCATATAGCCCTCTAATCTTTGACAAAGCAGACAAAATCATATACTGTGGAAAAGAACCATTATTCAATAAATGGTGCTGGGAAAATTGGATAGCCATATGCAGAAGACTGAAACAGGATCCACACCTTTCACCTCTCACAAAAATCAACTCAAGATGGATAACAGACTTAAACCTAAGGCATGAAACTATAAGAATTGTAGAAAATGTTGGAAAAACTCTTACAGACATTGGCCTACGCAAAGAATTTATGAAGAAGACCCCAAAGGCAATCACAGCAACAACAAACATAAATAAATGGGACCTGATCAAATTAAAAGGCTTCTGCACAGCCAAGGAAACTATCACAAAAGAAAATAAACAGCCTATAGAATAGGAGAAAATATTCACACGTTACACACCAATAAAGGGCTGATAACTAGAATCTATATAGAACTCAGGAAAATCAGCAAGAAAAAATCAAACAACCCTATCAAAAAGTGGGCAAAGGACATGAACAGAAACTTTTCAAAAGAAGATAGACTAATGGCCAAGAAACACATGAAAAAATGCTCAACATCTGTAATCATCAGGGAAATGCAAATCAAAACCACAATGAGATATCACTTAACTCCAGTGAGAATGGCCTTTACAGAAAATCCCAAAAAATAAATTTTGGCATGGATGAAGAGAGATAGGAACACTCATACACTGCTGGTGAGGCTGCAAACTAGTACAAGCTCTGTGGAAAGTCATATGGAGATACGTCAAGAAGCGAAAAGTAGAACTACCATTTGATCCAGCAATCCCATGATTGGGCATCTACTCAAAGCAAAAAAGACATTCTATAAAAAAGATATCTGCACTAGAATGTTTATAACAGCACAATTCATAATTGCAAAGATGTGGAAACAATCCGAATGCCCATCAAAACATGAGAGGATTAATAAAATGTTGTCTATGTATATGATGGAGTTCTACTTAGCACCAAAAATAATGGTGATCTAGCACCTTTTGTATTATCCTGGATAGAGCTGGAGCCCATTATACTAAGTGAAGTATCACAAGAATAGAAAAACAAGCACCACATGTACTCACTATCAAATTGGTATTAACTGATCATCACTTAAGTACACATATAGTAGTAACATCCATTGGGCGTCGGGCTCATGGGACTGGGGCTGAGGGGATGGGTATATTCACACCTAATGAGTGTAGTGTGCACCTTTTGGGGAATGGACATGCTTGAAGCTCTGACTTGGGTAGGACAAAGGCAATATATGTAACCTAAACATTTGTACCCCTGTAATATGCTGAAATAAAAGAAAAAGAAAATCTATTGTTAATGTAAATTTAGGGAACATTTTACTTTTTATTGTTTTCGGAAGCAAGATGGAAAAAAATATTGGCATAGTAAATTTGCATTGAGTTCTTGGGGTATTTTTCAATAATCTTTGCAAACTTCCTTGTAATAAATACAAGCCTTTCTTGTCTGAATCTATTTTTCCTTTCAGTCAGAAGTTTAGTGAATAAAGCTTTTGCTGGAGTGTAGCACAATAGCTCCCTGGGGATCTCTTTCCACAGCTTAAGTAATTTTTCTCTTTCTCTCTTTAAAAAAGAATGACATTATGTCTTCAAAATGTTCAAGGCTCTGAAAGAAAGACAAGCCATTTGATTTCAATAGTTAATAAGGACATTAAGGAATCGAAAATAAGAGATAGGAGTTTAAATACAAAAAATACTCTCATTTCAGAATGCAGATTGCATTTTATTTGTTCTGGAGTGCGATTGTTTCACAGACACAATCCTGAGCTAAGTGGTGATGTTTCCAAGGTCCATCTTTTTTTCTCATGCTCATGGCTACTTCAGAACTAGTGTCTTGACACTTGAACCTTTTCCATAGCACCCAAAAGTTAATCCACAAGGATATTTGTGAAAGGAGAAATAATGCTTTTACTACTATAAACAAAGGATTTATACAAAGCATATTTAGAAGGGGACAAGGAGAGGAACTGGAAATATGGATGGAATAGAAGCCATCTGGTTCAAGTCCTCCTACTTCTGAGAAGAGCTTTTCTTGTAAGTATTTTTCCAATGTGTCAGAGATGCACATGTCTCTTTAGAAGCAGAAATTTCTGTCATGTAATCTACAACGTTCACCTAGCAACCCTCACAACTCAGGATAGACTTATTTTTATGCATTTTTTCCCTTTCAAATGAATCCTCTATGAGAACTCTGGAAATCCAGCAACAGCAAGGTTGATGCGGAAGTGGAGGGCAGAGGAAAACTAACTTACTTTGAACTCCAGTAATACTTCAGAGCATAATAAAATATTGAATAATATTTTATTAAACTTTACATCATCGTGCTTCCTTATTATAGATTATTTATGAAGGAGGCCTTAACCCATTCTTCAATCTTCTTTTGGATTACTTCATCATAGTTTATGACAGCACCCTCATTGTGAGTGTGTGTGTACTCACGAGATCTTGGTGTGAGAAATAGATCTACCATACGAATTTCAAAAGGGGCAGGGCTTAGATAGGAATTTAATAGTTTGAACTGCAACTGCTTCTGTAGTAAACTGGTGCTGCTCTCCCTTTATTTTGCTGCAGAAATATTTAATTTTAAACCTGAAATAAAATCAAAATGTATCAATTAGCTTGAATCATGTGAAACTGCTGTTTTTTGGGGTCAAAATACTTAGATATTGGCAGTTTAACATACTTCAGCCAATAGTACATGGATGGATTCCATCTCCACCTTTCATTTTGTAACAGAAAGAAAGGAAGCTCACAGGTGTTGAATACCTTGTACTTGGCCGGGTGTTTTGTTAGGGGCCATTTTAGGGACAGCATTCAGTTACCCTTAGCCAGGTGCTATCTGGACCACACATAAGGTAATGGTCAAAGACTGGATGACCCAGAACATGAATAAGTATCATTCATTAAACATTAAACAAATGAATAGAGGGTCTTTATTTTTAAAACACCACTAAAAAAATAAATATTGGCTTGATGGCTCATATTTGCTTCCATTGGGTTTATAACCATTAATAAATGTT